AGCTTCCAAGAGGATGAAGCTGATGTGGAGGGAAAGGGTGCTTACGAGAAGGAAGGTAAGGATGATATTAGCCAAAATCCGATACTGTTGAAAATGATGTATACTCTGGATAGAATTGACTCAAAAATAGACAGCCACGAGACCAACTTCGAAAACTTCAACGAGCGGTTATGCAGAATGGAGTCCAGTTATACGAACAATCCTGATTTAGTCAGAGTTGCAGTGGACGAGTACTTCTCTAAAGTTCCCCAACAATCTTTAACGTTGCCAGCACCGCCGCCACCGCCGAGCTTTTGTCCGCAGCAGTCAGTCAATAGTCCACCTGCTAAGGCCTCTGTCCATAGTCCACCTGCTAAGGCCTCTGTCCATAGCACACCTGCTAAGAATTTGGGAGACACTGTTGATTTCGTTGGTATTTCTCCTGCAAAGGACCCAACCTTAGGAAGTGGGCACAAGATAATAAGGTTTAAACAAAAAGGAAATGAGGTTAAAGAGAAGGACAAAGAGGCGGCTGAGTTAGGAAAGAAGGATGTTTCTCCTAAGAATAACTTTACGGCTGTAAGTAGGGAAGAAGAGGCTGCGTTAAAGAAGAAGGAGGCAGCTGAAAAAAGGAGAAAAAAAACGGCTGAGACAAAGCAACGGAAGGCTGACGAAAAGAAGGCGGCTGAGTTGAAGAAGAAAGAAATGGCTGAGTTACAGAATCCGGTCGCAAAAAGGACGCGTCGCGGTTTAATAACAGTAGCCGTACCTTAGCCGAACCAGATTCAAGCCGACAGTGAGCTTGCGGATATTACTGACGAATTTCTCGCAACACGAGACGAAGTGCTTCCGGAGTCTGATGAGGATGAAGAGGATAGGATCAGATCCGAAAGAATAAAAGAATATCGGGAGAAAAATGTTCAGTTATCTGCAAATGGGTCTGCATTGCAACTCTCTGATAATGCTTCTCCAACACCAGTTTTTCCTCAGATTGGAGACAATGTAACGACGTGCATGAGGAAAAAGTTATTACCTTCACCAGCAATATATGATCCTTTAGCACCGGTTGATCCAGCAAAATTGGATAGACTTATGAAATACCTAGAGAAACATAAAGACACTGCCACTACCCCAACAACGGCCGATGAGGGTGAGTTCTACAGAATCATGATCACTGAAAGACCGTGGAAAGACATTAGATATGGATGACTGCATGATGATGTAAGTATTCCTTACGGTTGAGTTATAAATTTTATGTGCCTGAGTTACGTTTTTTTAAGGCTGAGTTAAGTTTACTAGTTGGCTGAGTTTAGTGTACTATGTGGCTGAGTTATGTGTTTACTAGTTGGCTGAGTTTAGTGTACTATGTGGCTGAGTTATGTGTTTACTAGTTGGCTGAGTTTAGTGTACTATGTGGCTGAGTTATGTGTTTTGTTACGACTGAGTTATAGATTCTATTATATTGACTTGATTTTGTGTTTTTGCGTAG